GACAATCACAACGGGACAACATGTCTCGGCCGAGCAGAGGTATGATGTAGATGAAGATGTAAGAAATCCTTATGTTGAAATTGTGACAGATGTTTTTCCTGGGGCATTGGCTGAGCAAAACTCATCACAAGATCAGGAGGAGCCAAACGTCGAAACAAAACGGTTTTTCGACATGTTGGATATGACAAATCATCCTATCTATGAAGGATGTAAAGAAGGTCAGTCACGTTTATCTCTTGCATCAAGATTGATGAGTATGAAAACGGATTACAATGTCACCGAAAGTTGCATGGAATCATTTTGTCAAACGTTGCGTGAATATTTACCTGAAAATAACGAAGCTCCGGAATCGTATTATGATACGAAGGCTATGTTGAAGAATTTGGGAATGCCTTATGAAAAGATTGATGTTTGCAAAAATGGTTGCATGCTGTACTGGGGTGAAGAAAAAGAATTGGTTAGGTGTAAATTCTGTGGGACTAACAGATACCGTCCGAGTAAGAATGTACGGAGACAAACTCCGTATAAAAAGATGTTCTATATGCCGGTATCGTACAGATTGAAGCGTTTGTATGAATCACAACAAACGGCTTCGCATATGAGATGGCATGCCTCGCATTCTACCGTTGATGGAGAAATGCAACATCCATCTGATGCTTTGGCGTGGAAAAACTTCAACATGGTATTTCCTCAATTCGCTGCTGAGCCTAGGAATGTGTATCTTTGTTTGTGTACTGATGGATTTAGTCCGTACGAACAGTCTGGCATGCAGTATTCATTATGGCTCGTTATACTTTCTCCGTACAACTTACCACCTGAGATGTGTGATAACTCCTAATTCTCTCTATATTTCCTGGACGTTTTTTATAGGATTTGTATGAGGATCATGTTCATTTGTAGGCATTATAGGCGTGTTAGGCCACGAAACTCGGTTTGGTTGTGTTTTCATAGGATTACAGGTCTCGGATGCGATTTGGAGCAAGACGGGAGCAATCTGGAGCTAAAAGGATGAAAGAGTCAAGAATTTCCCGCCTTGACTCGGCCCGAGTTAGACACCCCGAGTCAGAAGGCCCGAGTCAGATACCCCGAGTCAGAAGGCCCGAGTCAGACACCCCGAGTCAGAAGGCCCGAGTCA